TAATTAGCTACAAATTTCAATATTTTATAGCTAATGCACAAATAATAGCTATATCATTAAACTTGTAGCTAATAATGATGCTATATGCAATGTAAATGAATTGTCTATAGATAAATACATTAATTAGCTATAATGTTTTATCATAGCTAATACATTGTAGCTAAATAAATAGTTATTGCCACGGTTTTAATAAGTTAAAGCAAGAGATGAATATTAGCTTCGAAGGAGAAAATCTTATCACTAAAATTATTTCAATTAGCTATAAATATTGACTTTTATAACTGTAAATATGTATTTGTTACAGTTTTCTCGTATGTGTATATTGTTGTAGTGGTTCAACTTTTCAGGACCTGCATAAGGACTAATGTTGAGATTACTGAGATCTGAGGTGAAATGATTTACGGTGCAAGAATCCAAGTACTATTGGGGATCAACAACTGAGATTAGTTGAGCAACGAAGGACATTGGATTTGTAGAAGAGGAGTCCAAAGAGACAAAAGAGGATAAACAGGTCAGCAATTATTTATATACATCTCAGGATGCTGAAATCAAACCTCCAGTACTCTGATTTCTTCTTCTCTTTAATACTGAAATCAAACCAGCTCTGCAACATTAGCTACTTCATACCGTTTAATCCTATGTTGCTTAATACACACACACACACAAATATTAAATTGCAAAACTAACACAACATGTCATGAGGAATGAGAATATTTAGCTTCCAAAAATACATTCAAAATCAACATAACATTACATGCATGTATTTTCATACATATATACAGTCTATATATGCTTAAAACAATTATTAAAAATAATAATAATTGTTGTAATTGATCGTATACAATGGTTATCTTTAGGATCACCGAGGGAGAATTGACCTCGGAGATTGAAATTCCAATAGAGGCAACCTAGGTTGTGTTATAATATAAACATATTTTTCGTTGTGACAACGCTGGGATCAAGATTCAAAGTATTATATTGTTTTGATTAGAAGGCTCCAATAAGGGGGTAACGTTATGTCTCTACCTTACAAAAGAATTTACACCCTGATCCAATGGTTTCAAAGGAATTAACATTACTCCCGCCTTAACAACTTCTATAATTATAATCAAAGCACTATAAGGATATTGTGGGTAATGTTAGCTACCCCTCCCCCCATTTGTGCAATTAGATTACCAAACTATCCAAATAAGGGGTTATGTCTAACATGTGGGGAGTAACATTAACTCTGAGTATACTTGTAGTACCTTAATTTTGATTTTGTAAAAGATGTTTGATCTAATCTCAGAAGTTTAATTAAATAACAAAGTTCCCATTGAAATTTTAAAAATAACTTAAATCTCTCTATTATTAATTAGTTGTTATAATTTATAATATAATGGGTTAATAAATGATTACCTAATTACCTCTCCAACGGTTATTTTAACTCTAGAAACTTAACGACAAAAGAATTTCTTTTTTTATTATAAGCACATGAAGTTTTTTGTTACATTTACACTACTCTTTTACATCATATTCATTACATTATGATGTGACATATTCACAAAATTTTAATTATTTTGAATTTTTGATATTGTAATAGAATTTATGTGGTTGTGGCACATATCACATCATAATGTAATGAAAATGATGTAAAAGAGTGATATAAACGTAACATAACTCTTCAAAAAGTTTTAAACCGCGATAAAAAGTCAAATATATCCTTTATTTCTTAGTTTTACTTTCACACTAATATCTGATAAGTCTATGGACCTTTTTGTGAGTGAAAAATCTTGAAGTCCTTCAAAGTAAACTAGAATCATTGGGACTAAAATCTTCACTCGCATAAAGTATATTAGCTTTGCTGACAACGCTGTATATCTGTTGCATGTCAGTTTTGTGGGTGATTGAGGTAGCATTGATTAAGATCCGAAATGATATTATTCATTCACTAAACCGCATCTAACAGATAATGAGGTGCAGGGGCTATGGTATCTAAAGCCTTAAGCAAGGGAGGCTGTGACTTTTCTGACATGCATGGGATAGATGGATAGCAGAGAGTTATTGCGTTTCAGGAGAAATGGAAGGCCTACCAATTTCAATTCAAGAAGAAAAGCAATATATAAAGGGACGAAATGACAGATAGAGCCAGGTATCTAGATGGGAGCAAAACTCGGGAGTCACTAATTCCTCTCGCATGATCCCTTCAAGTTGAAGAAGCAAAAGAGAAACACAAGGCTAGTACAATCCTAAACAACACAGTCCAAACCTGAACCAAAAAAGAGGCAAGGGTGCCTTTATAAAAACTTTAAAAAAAACACAGCCCAAGCAACCAGCTTTCGCACAGCAGTTTGAGCAGAAAATCATTAGCAGAAAACAATAGAAGGATGCAGCCTAGCAGCAGCAAAAGAACCAGCGGCTAAAGCTTCCAGGAACTATAATCAAACAGCAAAACCAAACAAAAATATCCCAGCCCAAACAACCAGCTTTGGCAAAGCACCTTGAGCAGGAAATTAGCAGCAGAAAGCAAGGAAAATGCAGCCTAGCGGCAAAAGCATCCAGGAACTGTTAGGGCCAAAAATCAACCTCGGCCCAAATAGGGAAACAGGATCACTGGTGAAGAATGACCAGGCCCAATCTTGCAGAGGCCCAATTCGAATTAGCCCTATTTGATACGAAGTATAGCCGGCCCGAACTACATGGGCGCGAGCCTCTTAAGCCCTGTCCAATTTCTAGGCCTATGGGTGAGTCCAGAGCCCATAGCCCCTTCAACATTTTCCCATTCTTGATCAATCCCCTATTCAAGGTCGTCTTCCTCTTTCCTGGCGACTTTCCCACTTGGGGGTCATTCTCCTAAATGGAATTAACTTCCTATCTAGACACTGATAAAGACAGCTGATTATGGCCTTGATTCTTCTAGGGTTGGCATCAGAGTCACACTAGGACTCCTACTCCCACTAGGATTGGAAGACCAGACGACCACTATATAAGCAGAGGCCAGCCCTCTCATAAGGGACATCGACATTACACCTTCACAGCCAAGACTATTTTACTTGAGAGTTTCGCTTATTCGCCGTGGTCACAGTCCCTGACTAGACTTTCGGTAATCTCTCATTCCCTAGCTCTCACTATATTAGCCTTTCAGCCTTGCTGACTTGAGCGTCGGAGTGCCTACGGCAAACACCACCCTGGTGTTTCCCGTTTGCTTCACGCGTGTGTTTCTCTACGTGTGCAGGTACAGCAGATCGCTAGTAGCCTCAACCTCACGGGATCAGACCCCCCTTTCCGTACAGGTAGATTTTTACGTCTATAGTTTGGCGCCCACCGTGGGACCTCTAGCAATCATTCGGCGTGATGAACCTTGCTACGTGGAGGAATATTCCATGGCTGACAATCCAGACGACGTTAACTCAGGCCTCGAGGCCAGACTGGAGGCTTTGACCGCTCTCATGCAACAAAACTTGGACAAGGTGGCCGCGCTGGAAGCCGAAAATACATCCATCAGGGTCGAGAACCAGTCGCTAAAAGAGAAAGTAAGTCGATTCTATGAACTCGAGTTTCTGCCCGACCAAGCACCCCCCAATCGGTTCTGCACCACTATCCCATCCATGCAACCCCTCTCCACACCAGAGCATCAACCCTCGGATTCTGGTAAAGGGCCGCGTCAGTTTAACGCACTGGCGCTCGACTACTCCGTTTTGACTAACGGAGATAAAGATGCAACAGTGCGCGGTCCAGTCGACCCATCCCAGCCTCATGATCAAAACGATCCAGTAATAGAGAACCCGGAGGATCAACCCATCCCCACCATACCACTTCACCTCCAGTCAACCCAAACACAAACCCCCTCCTGCCCGGCTCACCCTCACGGGGTGAACGGCCAAACCAAACCAACTCTAGCTCTTGAGCCCGTCCATCCCGAAAGACCGAACGACTACCAGACAACTCCCCTGACCGTTCATGTAGGGAAGAACAATAGAACAGTGACAATGGGAGTCATCCAGCTAGAAGGGATGAACGAAGACACATGCTACCAAGGAGCGCAAGACGGACTGATCTATCAGTCTACCCCCCAAGGGATGACCCCCCGAGACGTACCAGACCCGGTAAGACGGGATGACCCGATAGTATCCCCTTCCCCTGTGGAACAGTTACTGGCCAAGAGACTGGCCGACGTTGAGGTAGTAATGAGGCGTATCCCAGGAATGCCAATCCCAACCAAGAAGAGCAGACCGAATTGTTACGCCGATTCACCCTTTGCGGATGAGATCGCCCTGGCTGACATGCCCCAGAAATTCACTATCCCCAACATGAAACCATATGACGGTACCACTGACCCTGACGACCACATAGCCTCATACAAGCAACGGATGTTCACTGTTTCCATACCCCGACCGCTTAGAGAAGCCTGCATGTGCAAAAGTTTCGGTTCTAGTTTGTCCGGCCCGGCGCTTCAATGGTACACGAACCTCCCGAACGGATCCATTGATTCATTCGCTCAGCTTACTGACACCTTTGTTGAACAGTTCGCCAGTAGCAAGAAGCTAGAGAAGTTGTCGGCCGACTTGTACCAAGTATACCAACGAAGGGAGGAGCCATTAAGAGAGTATGTTAGCAGATTCAACAAAAAAAAGATCTCTATTCCCTCCTGTAACCCCGAGACTGCTGTGGACGCTTTTAGAAAATGCCTCCTCCCAGATGGAGAGCTATACAAAGAGCTTACAAAGCTGGGCTGCACCACCATGGAAGACGCTCTGGCCCGAGCCGTTATCCAGATAAGGTGGGAGGAAGATGAGATGAACCGAGCCGCCCATTCTAGATACGAACCAAGGCGGAACGACAGGAAGCCAGAGCCTAGACTGGTAGAACACTGCTACCAACCCCCCGCACGCAATATGGGCAGAGCCAGGAGACCATATGATCGCCAACCCTTGAGAAATGATAGCAGGCATTTCGGATCAAACCAGTTCAAAATACCAGAGTACAGTCTCAACGTCGAACCAACCTAGGTCGTAGCGATAATGAAAGGAATGAGATCCGCAGTCAAGTGGCCTGGTAAGCTCAATCCCGAGGCAAGGAGAGACACAACCAAGTGGTGCGAATTCCACAACGATCACGGGCACAACACCGCAGACTGCATCGCCTTGCGGCTCGAGGTTGCCACACTTCTGAAGAGGGGACATCTCCGTGATCTACTCACTGACAAGGGGAAGAACATCATTAGCCAGAAAAGCTCCAAACAACAGTCGCCCCCTCCGCGAGAACCCACACCGAAGGGTTTCTGCTCGCTAGTCTCTGGAGGATCAGAAATCAGTGGGGTAAGTTACCCGTCAGCAAAGCGGCATGCTAGAACCAACCATCATGAAGTCCAGTCCATCCACCCGGTCTCGAGGTCATACTCCCATCAGGTAATTCAGTTCGAGGATGACGAACCGGTCACCCTAGCTGCCCCTCACCACGACGCTTTAGTCCTCTCCCTGCAAATAGCCAACATCCTAGTGAAAAGAGTGTTCGTAGATGGGGGTTCGTTAGCAAATATCCTATTCCTCGAAGCAGTCAAAGCAATGGGGCTGGAAGAAGCAAATACCAACAGGTGACCGACACTGCTAGTAGGATTCAGCTCGGAGCAGAAATACACTATCGGGGAGATCATCCTTCCTACCTATGCCGGCGGAGTAAACAAACAGACAGTCTTCCTGGTGATCGACTGCCCATCCCCCTACAATGTCATTTTGGGCCGCCCCTGGATCCACGACATACAGGCAGTCCTATCTACTTTCCATCAGACAATCAGGTTTCCGACTAAGTGGGGAGTACGGGAGATCAAAGGTGACCTTAAAGCTTCCAAGGACTGCTACAAAAATACCTTCAAAGGCAAGGGAAACTCTTCATAGCAATTACAGTCTCGTCCAACCCCTCGAACAGAGCCTGACCAACCAACCATTGAGGAGTTGGATGAAGTGCAGATACATCCGAATGACCCAGAGAGAAAGACACACATAGACTCCCGCCTCGACCCCAAGACAAGAGAGAAGCTGATAGAATTTCTAAAACAGAACGAAGACTATTTCGCCTGGTCCCATGCTGACATGACCGGAATCAATCCAGACGCAATGGTCCACCAGCTCAAGGCAGATCCGGACCACTCGCCAGTCAAGCAGAAGAGGAGGAAATTCGCACCTGAGCGAAACCAGATCATCAATGAAGAGATTGAAAAGCTCCTAAACAACGGCATGATCAGAGAGGTCCACTACCCCGAATGGCTGGCAAACGTTGTAGTTGTAAAGAAAAAGAACGGGAAGTGGAGAGTCTGCATCGACTTCACTGACTTGAACAAAGCCTGCCCCAAGGATTCTTTCCCCCTTCCACATATCGACATGATGGTAGACGCGACCGCAGGGCACGAACTCCTCAGTTTCATGGACGCCTTCTCGGGATACAACCAGATTCTGATGCATGCGGACGACCAGGAGAAGACAGCCTTCATCACAGAGAGGGGAACCTACTATTACAAAGTGATGCCGTTTGGATTGAAAAACGTTGGAGCCACCTACCAACGTCTGGTCAACAAAATGTTCTCTGACCACTTGGGGAAGACCATGGAAGTGTACATCGATGACATGCTCGTCAAATCCATGATCGCCGAACAACACCTCGACCACCTTAGTCAGGCATTCGCCGTTCTCCGGAAGTACAACATGAAACTGAACCCAGAAAAATGCTCGTTCGGCGTCTCATCAGGTAAATTCTTAGGCTATATGGTTACTCAGCGAGGGATAGAAGCAAACCCCGACCAGATCAGAGCGGTCCTCAGCATACCATCCCCGACTTGCATCAGAGATGTCCAGCGCCTTGCAGGACGAGTGGCCGCCCTGAGCCGCTTCATATCCAGGTCCGCAGACAAGTGCCACCTCTTCTTCCACGCCCTCAAAAAATCCAACAAGTTCGATTGGACCCCCTCATGCAAAGAAGCCCTACAACAGCTGAAGAAGTATTTGACCACCCCCCCGCTGCTTTCCAAACCCATGGACGGGGAGAAGCTCTACACTTACCTAGCGGTCTCAGAGACGGCCATATCAGCAGTGCTAGTTCGGGAAGAAGAAACAAAGAAGTCACCAGTCTACTACATTAGCAAGTCGCTCCTCGACGCAGAAACTCGATACAGCCAACTAGAAAAGCTTGCCCTCGCCCTCTTCCATGCTTCCAGGAAGCTTAGACCGTATTTCCAGTGCCATCCTATAGTTGTGATCACATCCTTCCCGCTCAAGAAAGTATTGCACAAACCAGAAATATCAGGCCGACTCACGCAATGGATGGTAGAGCTCAGCGAGTACGACGTATCCTACCAACCACGCACCGCCGTCAAGTCCCAGGCAATAGCAGATTTCATTGCCGACTTCACACCAAGAGCCACCACCCAGGCCGAAAAAGAATTACTATGCATGAACGGCACACCACCCTCAAAGTGGACCCTCCTAGTAGACGGATCAAGTAATCTCAATGGAAGCGGACTCGGAATAGTACTGATCATGCCAGAGGAAGACATCATCCAGCGAGCAGTCCGGTGTGGGTTCAAGTGCACGAATAACGAGGCCGAATATGAAGCCCTCCTAGCTGGACTTGCCTTGGCCAGAGAAATTGGCGCCAAGAGACTAGAAGTGAAGTCAAACTCCCAACTCGTGGTCAATCAACTACAAGATACGTACCAAGCACGTGATTCAAAAATAACATCCTATTTGAGCATGGTCAAAAAGCTGCAGGCCGAATTCGAAGAGTTCTCAATAGTACAGATCCCCAGAGCTGAAAACCACCATGCCGACGCCCTCGCCAACCTTGGCTCAGCACTCCCATGTTCCTCTCAGTCATCCATCCCCCTCCTATTCATGCAATGGCCAGCCAACTGGAAAGAACCGCCACCTAACAAGTCTCCTATAGAAGCCATGGGCATTGAGCAAGCCGACTGTTGGATGACCCTGATAATTAAGTACTTGGAAGACGATGAGCTCCCGGCTGGCAAGAACGAAGCACGCCGATTGAAGGCAAAAGCCGCCAGATTCACCCTACATGAGGGCCAACTCCTCAGAAAGTCGTTCTCGAGCCCCTACCTCAAATGCATAAGCCTAGAAGATGCCCAAAGTGTTCTAGCCGAACTCCATGAAGGCGAATGCGGCAACCATGCAGGGGGGCGCAGTCTTGCTCACCGGGTGATCACAGCGGGGTACTACTGGCCGACTATCCGCACCAACTCGATCACTTACGCAAATAGATGCGACAGCTATTAGAGGTTTGCTCACGTCTCACACCTTCAACCAGAACGACTCCATTCCATTCTCACACCATGGCCATTCATGAAGTGGGGAATGGACATCGTGGGAAAGCTACCTACTGCACCGGGGCAACGAGTCTTCATGTTGGCTGTGACAAACTACTTCACCAAGTGGATCGAAGCCGAAGCCTTCGCTCAAGTCAGAGACCGAGAGGTCAAAGCTTTCATCTGGAAGAACGTGATCTGCGGGTTTGGAATACCAAAGGAGATTGTCACCGATAATGGGTCCCAGTTCATTAGTTCAGGCTTTAGGGATTTCTGTGACATGTGGGGAATAAAGTTAAGCTTCTCAACACCCCGTAACCCCCAGTCTAATGGCCAGGCTGAGTCGTCAAACAAAACAATCATGCAGACACTGAAGAAGCGATTACAGAAAGCTAAGGGCGCATGGGCGGATGAGCTACCCGGAGTCCTCTGGTCATACCGAACCACGACTCGATCATCAACTGGTGAAACACCCTTCTCCCTGACATACGGTTCAGAAGCAGTCATTCCAGCCGAAATATCAGTTCCGTTCACCAGGCTCCAGTGGGTGAACGAGAAATCAAATAGCCAAAACCTTTGCCAGAACCTAGACACTGTGGACGAGCTACGGGAACAAGCGAGCATCCGCAACGCAATCTACCAGCAACAGGCCGCCCGACATTATAACCGCAGCGCGAGGATCCGCACTTTTAAGATAGGCGACTGGGTCCTTCGTAAAGTCTTCCAAAACACCAAGGAGATTAACTCTGGCAAACTCAGCCCCACCTGGGAAGGCCCCTACAAGATAATCAAAGAAGCAGGGAAAGGCGCCTACAAACTCCAGACCCCCGAGGACAAAGACATCAACAACAATTGGAATGCCGTTCACCTCAAACGTTACTACTCGTAGGTGAACCCTGTCCTTGTTGGGAGTCTTATTTTTCATTTCTTTTCATTGTTAATAAAAAGGATGAGTGGGCCTATCCACCTCCTCTTAGACAGTCGGCCTCATAGCCAGATATTTAATGAAGTATTATTCAGTAATTCTCATCTCCAAATCGACCACCGGTCGACAAATTACCTGCACCTTCAAATCGGCCATGCCCGATATACGTACAGACACCTTCAAATCGGCCATGCCCGATATACGTACGGACACCTTCAAATCGGCCATGCCCGATATACGTACGGACACCTTCAAATCGGCCCTGCCCGATATAGCACGGACACCTTCAAATTGGCCATGCCCGATATACGCATGGACACCTTCAAATCGGCCCTGCCCGATATACGTACGGACCACTTCAAATCGGCCCTGCCCGATAAAACGGACGGATACCCTCAAGTCGACTCGGTAGATGAATTACTCACTCGAATCGACCCCGCTCGACTCTCGAGAACACCTTAAGATCGGCTCTGCCCGATCCAAAACTTGGCACCTTGGGACCGGCCCCATCCAACCCAAAAACTGAACTGAAGAGGCACCGCCATTCATTCAGGGGACTACACACTCGGTCAACCCGACCGAATGACTCCTATACCGTTGTTTTGGGTCCGCACCAACCCAGCCCAACATAAGGCCTACATGCCTTATGTTGGCCATGCTGAGGTAACATGCACAAAAATAAGGGAGAAACAAAAGTACAGTTCATTCATCCAAGGAGACAACATGAGAAACTAGAACAGTCAAAAGTAATATATATGGCGTCAAACGCCCCAGTTCAGAATACAAGAAACAGCACAGACACCAGACAAAAGGGCAACGCAGGCCCCAAAACACAAAAAAGGAAAAGGGGGGGAGCATTAAGCATCCTCGGCACGAGTCTCATCCTCTACCAAATCAGTCGCCATGCAAGCACCACTAGCGCTCGGCCCCACAGCCAGGTCGCTCACGACCCCAACACCTGGCTGACTAAGCTTAGGTGCCTGCTCCTCGTCCTGCCCCACCGGATGACTAGTTTCCTCTTCCAACAACTCTTGCATTAGCAGAATGTCTTCATCCAGATCCCAATGAGAGGTCCGCCCTTCCTTAAACTCAAGCATGAGCTCGCCCCGGGCCTTAATGATGGCGTCATCAGCAATGGAGATGCACTGCTCCCTGAGGGACTGAACCTCTGCAGTCCTCTCGGCTAACTCGCACCGTAGCCTCTCGACCTCTGCCTCACTATCCCTGAGGCGCTGCTGACTCTCCTGTTCGGCCTTCCGAGATGCTGCCTCCTTCTGTCGCAAACCAGTGTTGGCCTTGGATACATCCTGTATCCGCTTCTCCTGCGCCACGACAGACTTCTTTAGATGGAGACTGCTAGT